CGCACAAACCCCCCTCTTCAACCGGGTTTTTTAACCCCAACCAAACCTATTTTTCTGTTTCCGGGGGGGGGAGGGGGGACGCCTTTCATGATGGTGCGATCTGGGATCGTGAGCGGAAGGAGCGGGATCGCCGACAGGCCGGCCATAATGACGAGCGCGTACGTGAAGTAGGTGGTGGAGTGTAGCGCGCGGCCGATATGCGCATCCTCGTCCGTAGTGCCGTTGAGGGAAAGGAGGCGCGTCCCGTCCGCCAACTGCTCGTACACGTATGAGTTAATCTTCAAGTCGACGCCCGCACCGTCAGCTAGCGTCCCCCCGAGGTAGAGGCCCATGAAATCGGTCTGTTGGTTCCAAACCCGAAAGAAGAGGAGCCCGACCAAAATCCCGACGACCATCTTGCATCCGATGTTGACGCCGATGCAGACGGGGTCGCGCAGCGTCAGGCGCACCTGCCGGCGAAGCAGAGTCGCCAGCTGCGTGCCATACCCAACGCCGAAACGCGCCGCCCCGAGTCCCGCCGTCCGCGGCTCGTGCGCCAGCGCGGCGACGCGCCAGCGGCGCTCGAGCTCCAGGATCTCGAGCGGAGTCTTTCCCGTCGCTGAGAGGGCCGCCTCGACCTCTGCCTCCACCCTCGGCCACTGGCAGTCGCGGAACGCGGCCACGAAAGTCGGCACGTCCGCGACGTCGCCGCCGGGCGTGATGCAATCGAGGAAGTAGTCGCACGGGTTGACGGCGTAAGGCACGGGTCGCCCGAGCTGCGCGAAATAGTCCGCCGCAGCAGCCATCGGGCCGTTGTAGCACACGCGGCCCGGGTCCGCGGTGAGCAGCACGAGATGGTCGAACAGGAGAGCGACCTACCCAACTCGGCAGTGCGCTTGTGACTGCAGGCATTACGGGGGCGGGGACTTGGGGCCTTGGGGCGTGACACGCCTCGTAGCGAGGTTGGTGGATCACGACAACGATGGTGACCCCCTGCTCGCGGGCGACGGCCTTGAGCGCCGCGATGCATGAGGCGGCGTCGGTGGCGGAAAGGCCGCTCGTCGGCTCGTCACAGAACATCACCTGCACACAGAGCTGCTTAATATGGGGCGCACAGGCACAGGCCGCTCGAATAGACGCAGGGCATCGCCTTTTTCGACGCGCACAGCGCCTTTGCGAGGGACAGCCGCCGCCGTTGGCCTCCAGAGACACCGCGCACGGTTGCGTTGCCGACGCGGCTGTCGGCGACGTGGAGCAGCCCCATCCGCCGGAGGAGGTTCTCCTACAGAAGTTCATGTCGAGGCGTTCTCGTGTCGTGCAGCAAATACCCGCCACCGGAGTCGGGAGGAGGCGACCTCCCTGGCCGCTCGTGCCCCCCTCGCCTCGGCCGCAGCGATGCCCCGCGGCGGTGGGTGTGAGAGCGCCATCGCCATCGCCACCTCCTCGCGCACGGTGCAGCGCGCGTGCATCGTGTCGTCCTGCCCGCAGTAGGCCACCGCGCGCTGCCAGGTGTCATCGGCGGGACGGCCGTCGATGAAGACTTGCCCGGAATGCTTGGCCGCCTTCTTGCGCGCGAGGATGTCCATCAGCGTCGTCTTGCCTGTGTGTTCACCGGAGAGGACGGTGTGAAAACAGACGCCATTCACGCCGTGCCAGCTCGTCAGCGTCGTCTCGCCACAACCGCTCGGGCCCATCAGGGCGACGAGCGAGCCCGCCGGAAAGTGCCCGCTACACTTTTCGAGGATCACCTTCTCCTTCACCTCGCCGCCGCGCCGCCGCGACCGCTGCGGCACGCTGAAGGACACGCCTCGGAAGGTGATACCG